CAAAGGATCAAAGCAGGCACTTTTGAAGCAGACAAATATCTTTTTACTGAAGCTTTCCTTTCTCCAGAAGGGCAAACCTTTGTGTTTAATTAGGAGCTAATCCACTGAGCTAAATGAGACTGGAGCTTAAAGAATAATCGTATCAACCAAAATAATTTTAAAAGAGCACTATATTGAGCAGAAAAGTTTAAAACAAAAGTTTGAAAGACAGCAATAATGTTACAACTACCAGAAACATATGAAACAAAATTAGTGATCCATATAATCAGGATGCCCTCTTGTATTTCCCATAATTTTTTACATGATTAAGAAAAAGCTAGGCAAAAATAAAAATCACAAATTTATCAAATAACGTTTAATTTCCCATACAAGATTACTTTGGAGATTCCATATAAGAACCTCAAAGTCCAGACTGCAAAGTACAAGTGTAGTACACTAAAAGCTATTTTATGATGATCAAATTCAACACCTCTTTCTAGCTCATGTAATCAGATTATAATAGCTATTCCTTAAATTATAAAACACAGCACTGGAATTCCATTACATAAAGTGAAAAGAAAAAAAGTAAGTTTCAGCATCCCAGAAAAGTGCAGGTCAAATACAAAGACTAAATAGAATATTAAAACAAAGGATTTAAAAAAAAAAAAAAAACCCTACTATAATAAAAAAAACATAAAGAGAATACATTAAAAAAAAAGTTTGTTAGCAATATGTAACAAAAGATGTAAGAAAAGCAGAGAATGTTTCTTAAGGAAGATATTTAGGAAAGGTTTTCTTGTCGGAAGCTGCAACAAAGCAGCATCACTGAGTGGTCCCTTGTCTTATTAATAAATCAAGTGTCAAAGGTTGATCTGCAATTGATAAGAGCAACTTAAACTTTTTCCAAGGATTGGTAATACTCTGTCAGCACAGTCCACGCTTTAGGAGCCATAAAACCTTCAGGAGGATTTTGACCTTCTCGAGCCAGTTTGCGCATGCGAGTTCCTGAAATGAATTCAAAATCTTCATGGCTAAAATAAAAAGAAAAGAAACCTTTTAGAAGGAATATGCAGTGAGTTTCAATTGAAGCTTGTTTTCATTTAAAGTAATACAGGCTGTCCTCAACTTATGACCACAACTGAAACCAGAATTTCTGTTGCTAAGAAAAGATGTTTTTCAGCAAGTCGTGCCTTTTTTGCCGCACTTGTTAAAAGAGAATCACTGAGGTTGTTAAATGAATCACACGGTTATAAAACGAATCCCATTCCCCCCCCCCATTGACTTTGCTTTTTGGAAACTGCCTCAGAAAACTGCAAGTGGTGATCACATGACCCAGGGACCCTGCAACCGTCATAAATACGCACCAATTGTCAAGCGCTTGGATTTTGATCACATGAGTGAAGGGATGCTGCAACGGTCTTAAGTACAAATGACTTTTTTTTCAGTGGCGGGTTTTATTGCTGGGTCACTTCTGACTAACAAGCTACTTTAGTCAGCTCCATAGATTTTCAATTGGGTTAAGGTCTGGGCTATTCCCAGGCCATTCCAGCAGTGGAATATGATTATCTTGAAACTCCCCCCAAAAGTGATGTTATTAGTGTTGGAAGGGACCTTGGAAATCTTCCTGTCCAATCCCCTGCTCAAGCAGGAGACCCTATACAATTTCAGACAAATGGTTGTCCAATCTCTTCTTAAAAGCCTCCACTGATGGAGCACCCACAATTTCTGAAGGCAAGTTGTTCCACGGATTGATTGGGCTAACTGTCAGGAAATTTCTCTTTAGTTCTAGGTTGGTTGTCTCCTTGATTAGTTCCCACCCATTGCTTCCTGTCCTGCCCTCAGGTGCTTTGGAGAATAGCTTGACTCCCTCTTCTTTGTGGCAGCCCCTTAGATATTGGAACCCTGCTATCATGTCACCCCTACTCCTTCTTTTCATTAGTTCCCCATCCAAGATTAAACTTTCTATTCTACTATGCTTTTGGCATCTTGTTCTTAGCCGCTTAATAACTGATTACTTTTTAATAGTTTTATTTTTTTATGAATTCTCCTTGGTCATATTTAAAGCTTTGTAGAATCTTTTTTGACTTTGAGCCTGACAATTTTTTAAAAAGAACATGAAATAAGAACAAATCTTATTGCAATAGTACTTTCATATATTCAGATTATGATTGATCATGCCATTCCTTGTCTGTTTATATTTATTATTTATGAACATTTATTTATTATATTTCTGTTCCACCACAGCTGGCCAATCTTGGCAGACTTCAAAATGCCAAGTTGGGTTATTTGGACTTTGGGTTAACATCTAGATGGGAAATCAAAACGGGAAAGCTGGGGATATAAACTAGAGAGAGAAGTAGAAAGCACATGCTTCAAAAAAGATAATCAAACACTTTTTTCATATTGAAGTGAAGTTCTAATCAAAGAACTTACTACTTGTCCAGTAATTGTAGCTGTCTGATGCAGCTGCAAAGTAATTATTTAAAACAAAAAGGTAAATATAATAATATAAATTTTAATAGAAAATTTGTGTGCTTTAAAGTTTAGGGGGAAAAATACAGTATTTGTTGAGGATAAATGTCATTAGTCAGTGTGAAAGAAATCTCTTGAACTTTTGTCAAAGGTTGATATATAGGTACCAACTATATTTTTCTTATGAGAACATTCCGCAAGCAAGACCTCACACAGTGATTTTCAGTATTATTTTTTTGTTTTATATTCCTTGCTTGCCCTGCTCACTTGCCAGAAATATCTCAAAACACATTTAGACCAAGCTGAATTTTATATTTCGGTCCTTACCTATTCCTTTCTTTTATTTCCTATAGGTAAAGGTTCCCCTGTCCATTGTTTCCAACCCTAAGGGGCAGCACTTGTCTCTGTTTCTTAGCCAAGGGAGCCAGCAATGTCCGAAGATATTTCCATGGTCACGTGGCCACCATGACTATACACTGAGATGCACAGAACACTGTTACCTTCGTACTGAAATGATACCTATTTATCTACTCACATTTGCATGCTTTTGAACTACTGGGTGGGCAGGAGCTGGGGCAAGTAACCAGAGCTCACCCTGTTGTGAGAAGCTCGAATCTTGAACCCAGGCTGTCAGCCTTCTAGCTGACTAGCTCAGCGTCTTTAACTGCTGAGGCACTATGTCCCCAAAATTATTCCCTATAGTTTATTAAATTCTAAACCTCAAATCAATAATACTTTTAGGAGTTTTTCCACTTAAAACCTATCAAAAGGTCTCTCTTCTATATTGCGTTTATGATAGCGAAGCAAAAATAAATCCATTTTTCCTAGGAATCAAACAACAGATGCCATTTTAAAAAATAATATCATGACCATTATATCTCTTATGTTCACTGCCAACTCAAAATAGGAAATTTTGAAATGTTGTGATATATTTGTGATATAATTGGACAATGCTACACCCACAGGTTTGTCACACAGGAGGCCTAGTTTATATATTTAGTGTTAACAACTCACTGGTGCTCTATGTTCTAATTGTATTGTATGGAATTTCAACACTGAACTTTTGCATATATTCTACCATCTGTATTCTGTAGCTCCTCATTCCTAAGGCTGTTTTCTTCTTACTATTCTTATTAAGCAAGAAACAAATTGAGAAAGGAGTTTTTGCCTAAGTAATGAACTCACAATGGGGCAGAATTATATGTGGTTAGTTTTAAGCCATGCCATTTTATAGTAACATTTGTACTGGATAACAATTGTGAATAAATTCAGCTCTCTAAAGAAGAAAGATTACACGGGCCTTTCAAAAAAGAAAAAGAAAAAAAGCCAACACACGCTTCATAATAAGTATTAATGAGAAACAGTTTATTTTCCATTTAATCTGGCATTCAAAATGTATTTCAGTTTGGGGAATAAACTATACTGAGTTACTCAAAAGAAGTTTAATGGAAGATCTGAACTAGGAATAAACAGTGCAAATTAGAGACATTTCCTAATTGAATCAAGTGCCGAAAGATACTGTTAATGTGTTTTTTATCAAGCATTTCTGTATAACAGACGCAACAGCAGCTAGGGACAATCTGTATCATTAAAACAAGTGAACAAATGTCTGAATATTCCGCACAAATATAGAGCTCTCTGACAATTTCTCAAATTACATTATGTAGCTTTGGGGTAAAGAAATAGGATGGCACAATATGATAGATAAAATCTTTGTTACTAGATGGGAGAAACTGTAGAACTTTGGTTGGTATCATGAATATTAAATATATAAATAAAACTCCTTAATGGATTAAAGGGAAATTATAGAGGTATAATTCTCACACAGTAATTCATAATATTATGTATTTTATGACTGAAGTAAGAACTGTAGAATAAATTACCTCTCCATTATCCTGGATTGGATCGTTTTAATGGCCAGGTTATCACAATGCCAAAGTACATTGCCAAAATAATGGCAATGTACTTTGTTACATTGCCATTATTAAAATAATGGCAATGTAATAATAAGCATCTCCATATTTCTAAAGCTACTATTCTTCTACATGATGTTAGAGCCATCAGCTCTATTTATTTTGGAAAAATCAAAAGAATTGTTTTCAGACAGAGGATTTTTTTATTTTCTCTATTTGCTCCTTTTAAATGGAGGCATCAAGGCTTAAAATTTCCAAAGCTTACACTCTACCAGTGACGTAGGAGCAAATCCCATTATGAAAGAACATATATTTTACTCACATTGACCTACAGACTGTTCCAGAATATATGCAATTACAAATACATGCTGGCTACCATTGTATAAAACCTGTCTAATAGATTAGGAAAACACAGGCATTCTGTCTAAAAACTTCATTAATTTACAAATCTGTACATTTTGTTTATAATTATAACAATAATCCCAAACTGCTATCATTATTGCTTTTAAGAACAAGCCTCAAGAGTAACCAAATGTGTGAGTGCTATGTGAAACAAACAAAATGTTAAAAAGTTATATTATTTATGGAGTTACTTACCAAACACATCTAAATTATATTAAAGTAAGCAAAATACCTTTACAATTCCCAAGGCACCCCTAATGTTTGGATATTGAAAGCTGAAAAATTTGACACGCCCTAGATTGTGCCAGATTTCTGTGAGAATCAATATAATATTTAGGCTATTGTAGTTGGGGAGTTTCTTTGAGTCATTTTATTTTTTGATTCCTGAAAACTGCCTGGAGTATTCCCTGCAATTTTAAGGGGCAAGGCTTCAAATGAGGTTCACCATTGCCTCCTTCTTCCTAGGGCCAAACAAGAGTGAATATCACAAGGTCACCTGCTACCTTTGTGTGTAAGGTAGGGCTAGAACTCACCGTCTCCCAGTTTATATCCTGATACCTAAACCACTACCCCTAACTGGCTCTCTTTTCATTTGGAACAGCTGACAAAACATAATACTGAAAATAGGGAATAGACTGGTAATCTGTCAGTACAGTACTCCAACACTGGAAAGGGAGACCGGTATGTTGTCATGTAATTTATCTTCTCCCACTCCCAAACTGTGACAGAAGGGAGATCCAAGAGCATTCTAATATTCTTGCCACTCCTACAGTTCTAACCATGGGAGGTCCAGCATGGCTTAACTGGACTAACATCACTCATCATTACAGGCAACAAATAGTCAAACATTCTACTTCATTTGACTTTCAAGCCACTATGCATGTATTTATATAGAAAATCTGGCCTGCTATTTGGCAAGAGACATGAAATAATAAAAAGCCCATCAGTTTGTTCGGTGCTTTTTGATTAAAAGAAAAAAGGCAGACCTATTAAAACCTTACATTCTCCCACAGCGCCAAGTTGTGTGCATTGAATCCAGGCGGCTATTATGCCTTCCCTTTGAAGGGGGATTTCAAGAGCGGCTCCCCAGGCACCTTCTCCTAAGAACATTTCGCCCTACATCTGGGCTGCATGCTACAGACACCATCCCAAATGGGAGTTCTGCTTTCACATGTTGCCAGCCATCCTTCCTCCAATCCAACTACAGTAAACACATCTTTTCGCTCTAATTAATTAGGAAGATTGGAAGAGTTCGCTCAACTTAATGCTTTTCCACACAGTCTCTCATGATGGTGATGGCAGAATACATGGGGACTGAATTCTACGGCAAAGAGATGTACAGGTTAGGCTTACAAAAATATACTACCCATGATCTACAGCAGGGGGGTCAAACTCACGTCATCACAGCGGCATCAAGTGATGTATCAGGACGTTTTTCCCCTTCATCAGAGTGTGACGCATCTGGCCTGCAGGCGGGAATTTGACAGCCCTGATCTACAGTAAGCTCGTTTTGGTAACTCTTGGAAGGTTCATACACTGTAAGGGTGCTGTCTCCTTGCAATAAAAATGAAAACCCATGTTTTAATTAAGGGCAAATGCTTTATTATTATTATAAACTTTTATTCATTAAACACGAAACTCAGTCAACTTTTGAAAATGTATCACAAATATTACTGACTGGCGCTGATGGTTGATACGGGTTGCTGCCAGCATCCTAGATATTGACCAAGTACCTTCTTAAGATGTACGATGTTCTGAGTAACGCAGTTCTTTGCAGTTCCTCTGGTGTTATTGCAGGAAGATGCAATTTATTGATGTATTTTGTAAAATTCTTGGACATGGTACCAAGTGCCCAATGACAATGGATATCATTGTTACATGTTTCATCCATAATCACGTAGTTTTGCTGGCCAGTTCGTGATATTTCGTGATTTTTTCCAGTTCTTTTTCTTCAACTCTGGCGTCTCCTGGTACAGCGACATCAATAAATTGTATGCTTTGGTTTTCGATAACTGTGATATCTGGCGTGTTGTGTTCCAAATGACGATTTGTCTGTATTCGAAAGTACCACAAGATCTTCACCTTCTCATTTTCAACAACTTTTTCCACTTTATGTTCCCATGACTTTTTGGATACAGGTAAGTCATATTTTTTACATAATGACCAGTGGATTAATTTAGCAACTCGGTCATGTCTAGTTTTGTAATCAGTTTGGGTGATTTTGCTGCACTCACATATTAAATGTGAAACAGTTTCAACTTTGTCATTGCAAAGTCGGCAGTTTAGATTGTCGGTGGATTTTTGTATCTTAGCTTTCATGGCATTAGTTTGTAGTGCTTGTTCTTGAGCAGCAAATATTAAACCTTCTGTTTCTTTCTTGATGATTCTCATTTTAAGCCATGCCCACGTCAAGTTGTTATCACAGTTTCCTTCAATATTTTTCAAGTGCTATCCATGTAAAGCTTTGGTTTTCAATCCATTTAATCTGTCATCCAGTTGTTTTTCCTTATATTCTGCCTTTTTTTAAAAAATAATGTTCTCTGTTTACACAGCCTGTTGCAACTTTTATTTTTATCTCTTTTATTCATTAAACATGAAACTCAGTCAACTGGACATTTAAAAATGTATCAGAAATACCATTGACTGGTGCTAATGGCTGATAACGAGTTGCTGTCAGCGTCCTAGGTATCAACCAAATATCTTCTTAAAATATATGATGTTCCGAGTAGCAGTTTTTTGCAGTTCCACTGGTGTTATTGCAGGAAACTGCAACTTCTTGATATGTTTTGCAAAATTCTTGGACATGGTACCAAGTGCCCCAATGACAATGGGTATCACTGTTACATGTTTCATCCATAGCCGTGTAGTTTCAATGGCCAGGTCACGAGATTTTGTGATTTTTTCCAGTTTTCTTCTACTCTGGCATCTCCTGGTACAGGGATATCAATAAACTGTGCACTTCAGCCCTCGATAACCGTGATTTATTTTTAATAACTGTGATTTATATAATAATTGTTGTTGTTGTTGTTGTTATTATTATTATTATTATTATTATTTGCTATCAGTTTTTCCCAGGTGCTGTTGCTAGCAGCACCTTATTCACACAACACAAACAGCCACACACAAAGAAATAAAGCAGGTATTGTATAACTATACTCAAATTCTTTGTTGTCATGAACATGTCTAAAGGGATCTTAGCTATTACAGTCTGGATTGGGACATTTTTTGTCCTTCATCTGCCTAGGCCTACCACTTGGCTTCAAAGTAAGACACTGGACTTTGAAGAAGCAGGACAGAAAGAATACTGACACTTTTGAACTTTGGTGTTGGAGCAGCCCTCCTGACGATACCTTGGACAACCAAGAAAAGAAATAAATGGAACAAACAATTCAATCCAGAGTTCTCACTAGAGGCACAAATAACTCAAATTTTCATATCTCAGACACATTGTGCAAAGACCTTCTCTCTCAGGAGAAAGTTCTAATTCTAGGACTCCACTTTTCTTAAGGAAGATATGGCATATATGCATAAGGCTGGGCTGTTGCCCTTTACTTATAATTCTATAAAATTATTGCAGCATTTTCAACATTTTATTATATGAGTTCCTTTGCTTTCTGTTTGCAGTTCCCTCCTTTTTTTCCCTTTTAGATCAATTGGATTATAAATCTATGGGGAGGGTTTATTTTGTTTTTAATTATGTGTAGTAAAACACAAATGTTAACTGTTTTGTATGTTGCTAATAATCAATAGTAAATCAAGCAATAGTGTAGTGGCTTTGCAAATTTCTAACTCTCATGAAGGAGCTATTTTTTAAAAAGGAACAGATTTATTTTTTTTACGTAATCAAGGGTAATTTTTGCTCTACGTTTTTGGTTTTACAAAAATAATTTTTGCAAAATTCTTAAATAATATATTGTTTCATTGTACGAAACATGTCTTTCGTACCATTATGGTACACAAATAGCAGCCAAGATTAAATTATTAGTTTTTATTAAAACTTAAATAAATCAAAATCTATATTTTCTTTAGATTACCTCAAGTAAAAATGAGTTTCTCATGTAAATCATGAAAATGGCACCGTTGAGCTGACCATAGCTGATGAGCTACTTGCTCGTTTTATTTGATTCATTTTAGTCAGGATTTGTTTTAATTTACTTTGCTTAGCTGACTTTGATTATTTTTGTTGCTCCCTGAAGAGAACTAAGTAGTCAAAACTTATCGAGGAGAGAGAGTTTGGTGCAGTGATTAAAATACCAGACCGAAAATCAGGACACCACTACTTCTCCCACCTTTGACACAGAACCAATTGGGCTAACTTAGGCCAGTCACTTTTTCTCAACTGTAGGAAGGAAGCAATGGCAAATCACTTCCGAAAATCTTGCCAAGAAAACTGGAGGGACTAGTCCAAGCAGTTGCCAGGAACAATGACTTAAAGGCACGAACACAAAACAAAAACAAAAATACATCCTGAGTGTCTTAGAATTTAATCCAAACCCCTCAAGAAAGGAAAATGGAACAGAGATAATAAAAAAGGGTAACAGAATGAGTCCAAGGTCTCAGAATCTACCCAGATTTGTAAAAACGATGATTATATATCAGACAAGAAATGTTTAAGTAAAATTAACTCTCTGCATGTATATGTAATTAGTAATTATTCACATGCTTCTCAGCACAACTTCAGTTATTTTCATATGGTTTTAATTAACAGCTGCCTTTATTTCATATGACATCCTGCTTCCTAACCACAAAAACCCTAATTCTCTGTTTGGTTTACTCTGTGCAATTTTGTTTTGTTTGAGATGCTGAGCATAAAAAGGTTTTGAGAATTAAGACCCCTAATACCTTTCACTTAGAGATGTGAGCTACACTCACTAGAACTAAAGGACAGCAAATGACAATATATTGATTTTTAAGACTCTGGGATGAGTCTTAAAACAGATTTCTGCTGGATGTTTTTCTTGATGAGTCTCATCAACAGATTTTCAAGAATCAATGAGATACTGTTTGATGTCAATACCATCAATGCTATTTACCACTATACTTAAAAGTCACAGGTCTTCCCCATCCCTTGCTCTAGAAGTACAGAACTCCCAAGAATTAAACTTCTGAATCAATTAAACAGGACTGGGGATTACTATGGTATCCCCATTGTTATGCTCATTTAATTTAGGAGGTAGAGTGATCTGGACTCTGACTGAATTTTGCTTTAAGTACAAAAGCAGAACATGCACTAGACTGCCAATCGAAGATCCAAGTCAATTTGATTAGCATTGAATTAAGGGCTGGCTTTTCTAATTGTTCTTTCCTGTATTTATTGTGTACATATGAAGTTAACATACAAGTAAGAAATAGAACTCCTTAAAGCTAGTTTCTGTTACAAACATAAAACCTGCAATAGTGAGAATGTTTATTGGACTGCTCATCTATACTTATCCTACACCGAGGAAGAAAAATCACAACACAAAATGCTTCATTTTTTTTAAAAAAAAATTCTTATTGCTAAAATACTTAACACTTTTTAGTAGCAAATACTTTTTTTCTGATGATACTTTCGGACAGTCACATATGATAATGATTGAAGTTTCTATTTGGATCTAGTAAATTGGAAAGTGAAACCGTGAGGCAAAAAGGGATTAGCGAGTGGATTATGTAAACCATCCCATGACTTCCCTCATGGTTTTATGATATGACCAAAGTTAGTGGGTTTATTGTGAAATATTACTTATTATATTAAAAACACAACCCAGGCAAGCTCTGGAATGGCCAGAATAAAAAACAATATCCTGATGTAACAGTAAGAAACTATGGATAATGTAACAGACTCACAGAATGCAATACAGGTTGTATTAATAAAGTTGCAGATTTAAGCTCTGAGAAAATGTTGTTTCATCTCCCCTTCTATATAATGCCTTAACAGAGTTAAATTTATGGAGGAATTAATTACTTAAACCACTTTGCTACACACACACAATGGGGCAAACTGATGATCAGTGCAATCCACTTCCAGGATTATGTTAATATTTTAAAGCTGTTCTTAAAGTGTTAAAGTAACTTTCTAATGCAGAGATGGAAGATTTTTTGCAGCTACATTTTGCAACTGTTTTTTTTTTTTAAACAACTGTAAACTGACTTCTGTTTTCTGCACTGGTAATGGTTTTCAGTCAAGTTTTTCTCCAATATTGAATTTATCACCCAGTTTTGGAAAGACGAGTTGCATCACTCTGATTTTTAAAGTGTTTTCTTAAAGAAACAAAATGGAGGTTGTTACATAACTGAGAGAAGAGGGACAACAATTTAATTCCTTAACTGGTTGTAAAAAATAAAAAGCTGAAAATCGTCCCCTCCCTCCCAAATTAACACAATTCAATCAGTCATGTAAAAACTGTCCCCTTCTTCAGCTATGAAAAATGTGTTGCAGTACATTAAATGACAGGAAGTTTGTTAAAAGGATACATTTCAAATTACCAGACTCTATTCTCTCATCAAGAATAGTGGTGTTAAAATCCATGCAATAGATAATCAAATCCTTGTATAAAAACAGCAGCACTGCAAAAAATATATACTACAAGAAAGCATTATTTATATAGGAAAAAAATAGACAAATTTGTAGTTGTCATAGATGAGAAAACGTCTGTAATAACAAACATGCTAAACTTTAAACATGTACTTCAAAGCTTGTCGAATGGTTCAATGGTAGCAAAAAGAACTTTATTCCCAAATGGAGAGATTAAAAATAAAAAAAATGCAATATGATCTACATATCATGACAACCAAAATTTTCCATTTAAATGTGAGAACAATCTTTGGGCCAATTCCAGGCCACCCAGAATAGTAAAACAACTATAGATTATTGGAGGTTCAACCTTTTTAAAATTAATTTAAACATAGGTCACAGGATATAAGAAGTTAAAATGTATGGTATGATTTCAGATTATAGGTTTCTAAATTATACAGAAAATTAACTGAATATAAGGCTTGAGAAATGAGTATTTATTTGAAAATTAAGCAATTTATGGTGAGATATAATGGCATATAAAGCCAAATCCCAAATCCATACCCAAAATATAATGTGGAACATTCATTTTTAACCCCACCTCCCCTAAAACTTACTGTTCTGAGTCGTAGTAATCCATGCACTTCTTTTTCTTATTATACGCTGCCACTCTGAAAGGTACAATTTCCAATGTTATCAATCCTGGTGCCATAGTCAAGACTTTGGCACCATGGGTTGGATCATAGAGGTCTTTCCCAGTCTCAGGATGCGGCATTCCAGCTGGGTCTCGGCCCACGATATAGAAGTTTGCTCCAGCCACCATTCTCGCCCTGCAATGCCACTGAACCTAGAATAAGATTCAAGATATTAGCAAAAAGCAGAACTTGAAAAGGTGGTGCAACGGACATAAAAGATTATCTCTAATAGATAAAAGAAAAGCAGGTGTCCTCTAGGCTCATACATTGTCCAAGGGCACATCTGCTATGATTGTCACCAACTTAGAGATAGAGACCATCAAAAATTCTAATGCACAACATTGCATGGCAGTTTGTACAGCAGCTTTACAAACTAACAAAAGGATGCCACTTATCATTCCAGAGAATCGCACTGGAAGAAACTCTCAAAAATTTCAGTGTGAACACATGTACCCATAAAAGGAAAAAAAGGGTGTCAAACTACTAGATAGCCTTGCTCCAATGGAAGCAGAATTCCAGAGAATAGCTTTCTATGCAACAGAGTCCTTTTTAAAAAACTAGTTAAAATGCCTTTTAAAGTTAAAAGAACAATAGGGGGAGGGAGGAACTTATTACTTTCTCAAAGGTGCTTTTGTCAAAAGTCAACTGGACGATGTTTTTTTCTGAAGCAAGAAATGTTTTTTTTTCCCCTTGAAAAAGAAGATGTTTTGCTTCTCATCCACAAAGTTTCATCCGGTCAGAACTGATGAAGCTTCTTGGATAAGAAGTAAAACTTCTTCCACCTCGAAAGAAAAAAAAAACACCATTTCTTCCTCAAGAAAAAAACATAGTCCAGTTGCCTTTTTTTTTTTTTTTTTTTTAAAGGATCTTTGAGACAATCATGACCTGGATGACTATGAATCTCTAATATTCACTCTAATATTAATAAATTAATATTTATTAATTATTTATATGTTAATCAAGAAAAAAATAGCACCTGGGAAACTATGTATTTTCCAGGCTGAGTTTTTGCATGTTTCTTTCAAACTGAGAATATATATTTCACATGGATGCATTTACATGTACGCTAACAAACAGGTTTGTCATTTTTTTGGCAATGCAGTTTCTCCGCATAAGGAACAGACAAAACTTGCAAGACAAACCATACATATGTTTTGTTTAAGAAAGGGGGAAATATAGAATTCATAATGAGAAAAGGTGGTAGAAAGGAATAAGAGATGCAAAGTAATAACAGTGGCTTAAACCTCTTGACAAGGGCTGTCATCAAATTAAACATCTGTTAAATGATATGCATAAATTCAATGAAAGTCAAGACAGTTCTGAGTGCACACATCGCATACTTCTTTCCATTTTAGATTATGCATATCTGTCAGAACATGTATCATCCTAAAAGAATGGTGGTGTTTTCCATGTGTGAAATGGAAATGCTTCTTAGTATATACAGTACTTGTATTTTTAAAAAAAACAAACATTATATAATTCATTAAATATTTTTAGAGATAGGCAATAGATTTTTAAGATGCATAAACATATTGAATATTATAAATTATGCTATGAGATTTTGTTTTCATTAATATAATATATTGAACATTGCAAATTTACTTGAGAGATGAGGAATAATTAAGGATACACTTGAGGAGCTAAATTTTTTAGATAGTTGCAAGGAAAATGCAAGAAAGTTGACAATTTCTTTTACAATAAGCATTCAGACCCTGTGTGGGAAAGTACAAGTTTGAAATGTATACAAACTTGGTTGTTATCATATATGCATTCATCTTCCCCATGAATTCTAACGAATTTGTTTTTCTAAAGAAATTATACTGGTTTTTCGGTATCTTTTGCAGCCATACTGAAAAAGAGCCTATCTGCTGCAAATATAATTTCCTAGTTTATTTGATGACATGTCATACTTTATAGAAAGGGTTTTTTTTAAAGAGGAGAGAAAGAAAAATGTGACATGTTTAGATTTAGTCCTACGAAACATCACCATTAAATCTTTACTGACGGCAAAGCATGTCCCAACACTCGATAACTATATTGGTTAAGCAGCTGTCTGTTCTGCAATTCATTTGCATTACCGAAACAAATCTGGTACCAATGTCTTCTAAATGACCTAAAGAAAATGATTAAAGGAAAAGTCATCTTTTATTAGTTGGCTAAAACACAATATTGGCAAACGGTTTTCTTGAGGTCATTGGAAAACACGGCATAAATTGAAGAATGTTTCTTATTTTATTTGCAATCATGACTTAGGACTACAAGTGCAGCTTTTCTTCATCTCCTTGCTTCCATGCCCTCCAAACATAGGAAAGAATACCCACATACATGGCATGGATTATTTTCAGTAGCCACAATAAAAATGAGAAACACACAAAGAACATGAATGAAAGGAAAGATTCCAATGAAGTTATAATTGGTTTACATCCAGGTTAGAGTCCAAAGGGTGAATAATTAACAAAAAAAATATTATTTTGAAATAAGCCATCATTTTAGACATGTAAAACAGAAATAGGATTAATTATTTCCATGCATTCCCCTCTCAAATATTATCTCAAATCTCCTACAAATGTTCTACCTTATTCCAATAGAAATAGGCTCCTCAAAACTTGTAGCCTTGAGGAATTGAAATTCAGGGGTGAAATGCTCCCGGTTCGGACCAGTTTGGACAAACCGGTAACGATGGTGGCGCGAGGCTTCACCCACCCGCCTGCCCGGCGCAAGGCTCCACCCACCCGCCTGTCATTACTTCCTGTTTTTAACCAGGAAGTAACCTGTTTTTTACCCTCTGTGTATGCGCATTGTTGAACCCTAAGATTGTGATAAGTAAGTTGTGCAAAACTGGAATTCATGTGTCTATTTTGGAGTAGCCTATTAAGAAAAAAACACTTCTGCCAACTAGAGGGAATGATAAGGTAAAAGGTAAAGGTTCCCCTCGCACGTATGTACTAGTTGTTCCCGACTCTAGGGTTCGGTTCTCATCTCCGTTTCAAAGCCGAAGAGCCAGCGCTGTCCGAAGATGTCTCTGTGGTCATGTGGCCAGCATGACTAAACGCCAAAGGCGCACAGAACGCTGTTACCTTCCTGCCAAAAGTGGTCCCTATTTTTCTACTTGCATTTTTTACATGCTTTCGAACTGCTAGGTTGGCAGAAGCTGGGACAAGTAATGGGAGCTCACCCCATTAAGCGGCACTAGAGATTCGAACCGTTGAACTGCCGACCTTTCGATCGACAAGCTCAGCGTCTTAGCCACTAAGCCACTGCGTCTCTTTTAGAAGGAATGATAGATTTCTCAAATTTGATATTCTCTCAAAGTACCAGATTTGTCAATCATAATTTCCAGACTACAAAACCAATTTGAGCTGTCTTTCCGCCCTCCCAAGTAACAAAGCTACAGCAAGAAACATAGGAAAAAGACAGAAGTATATCAAAAAGAGGTTTGAGCTGTTTTCAGTATACAGAAGTCTGAAACCTACTTGGCAAATTGAAGGTTAGCATGATGTATACGGTGAAGTCCCAGGGTTGCAGTAGTTCACATAAGCTTTCCATGAGTTATCTAGAAACCATCTAATTGTTTTCAATTAATTTTACTTTATGATGTAATGGAAGTAGAACTTTATTATTGAGGAATAATCGTTTTAATTATTTTGAATGTACAGTATGTCATTCCAATTTTAATTCAATTACTGTGTAAATTAAATCAAATTTAGCTTTGTCCTGATTTCACCTATATTGGAGTGCAATACCTGGCACACTCTTAACGGCTATTCTGGCCCATAGTTTGAGAAAGAGTGGAATCATGTGGTGCTGCCATGTTTTCCCTGCCTAGCAAATAGTATTGTATTGCTTCAACCGCTGGCATCAGCAGGAGGAAGCAACAGGATAGGATTAACATCTGAGCAAATTAAGTAAATATCTCATGCTGTCTGGCTGATTTCGAAGTGACCTTGTCTCAAGCCTCTGGCTGTTCCAAATGTCAGCAAAAGGTAACAATAGCAATGAGGGGGGAAAAAGCTAAAGAACAGCAATATTTTACGTTTGGAACACAATTATATTTCTATTCCAACCGATGATTAAGTTTTTCAGTTGCAAGTTTTTCCTTCATATACATCTATTAACACCTCAAGTTCTAACAAATCCATGCAGTGAATTGCTTTCTTGGCATAATTACGTACAGATTGGAACAATTCTGAAAACAATTCATTTTCATTTCTGGACTAAGGCAGAAGTGAGATGATTTGTTTTCTTAGCAAATCATCTTCCTTCCTTCCTGAGTTTGTTCTGCAAGATAAATGGTAGATTTTAAACCTGAACTGTTTTTATTAAGTATAATATCAGAAAAATTAGATAAGAAAAGTATGTGTTTCATATTACATGTCGTAACAGCAATATTCACGCAACATTGGAAAAAGGAATGAACACCGTGAGATGAAGAGATAATTAAGAAGATACTAGACTGTGCAGAAATGGATAGATTGACATTGAACAGAAAGACAACACAGAATACTATCAAACATGGAATCTATTTTATCAGTGGTTAGAAAAAAGGGGTGGAGATTAAGAATGTAACCAGTATTGTTAAGCAAATTATATACCCAGACAACACGATGCTTATTAAGCACTAAGAAATGTAATTAATAAAAATCATTTTTTTTAAAAAAAGATAAATGGTTTGAAGACAATTTAAACACAGAAAGAGAGGAATAGAAGCGACCTTGGTGGATAGGAAGCAAAGTGACATGCACAAGTATAGAATAGTAATGGTAGAGAATTTCAATATTACAAGTACCACCAAAAATTCCAAATAAGATCTGGAAAAAGAGCACAATAATTTAAGCTTTGATGCCATTTCTTCACTCAGTGTGCTTTCAATTGTTTACTCACACTTGTCTCAACTCCACATACAGATCTGAAAGAAAACACTAAAATGAAGAGGAGTTGGGAACCAGCTGTTCAATTCTGGCTATGGTTCAGTATGTTAAGAACACTGTGGAAATGAAAGATGAAGAAATAGAGTAAGGAGCTTGTCTGTAAACAAGAAACTTCTGAAGATCAACACAACAGGACCTTCCCGTTAGGGCTTCTAAACCAAATTTTATAAACAAGTCATGGCAGAAGAATTCTGGAGAACCATGAATCATACGAGGGTCTTGCGGTGAAACAGCGGTGCCTAGGGGAAAGCGTATTGATAAATCAACTCAGGAAATCAGTTGAAAGGAACAAAACAAATGGACGAAGGAATTAGCAAGCTGTGGTATATGACGCCGTACCTCAGTTGGTCCAGCATACATCATAGGAGAGGGAAATATAGCCACAACAGTTGTTTCTGGATTCAATATTCCTTCCTCTAGCACTGCTGCATGTTGCTTCATTCGCCACATCAAAGGAACATCATCATCCTTTGTCCAGCCACCCAGAGGATGCAAAAGCAGAACTGGGCGCCTGTAACCTCGATCCAGAAGCTGCTTATGAGTATCCTGCATCAACAGGGCATGCCCATTGTGCACAGGGTTACGCAACTGGAAAGCAAAGACAGCATCTGAAGAAAGAAGGGAGAGATGTCAACAATTCTAGAAGTAACAAATCAACAATTCTAGTAGCCAATGGCAAGTGGGCACCAATGTTTTATTCAACTGTTTGGCTTGTAATATACAAAAATTTTGAGAAGGATAGCAATAGCAACAGAATTTAGACTTCACAGTGCTTTACAGCCCTTGCTAAGCGGTTTATTGTATCAGCATATTGTCCCCAACTATCTGGGTCCTCATTTTACCCAGATAGTTAATACTTGGAAGGATGAGTCAACCTTGGATTCCAAGAAGCTCAAATTTTCTTTAGATAATGGCTGAGTCAACCTTGAGCCTGGTGAGATTCGATCTGCCAAATTGCAGGCAGGCAGCAGAAATAGCCTGCAGTACTGCACTCTAACCACTGTGCCACCATGGCTCATGGTCAGAGATAGCCAGTTGCAGAGAGATGTCTCAATGGTTCATCCTCCTAATTATGACTAATGTTTGGAAGATCAGAATGCAACTTATAGTGTTGAACGCTGCTGTGATGAACTATAATTCTTCAGGTGGTCATCAAAATCCTATAGTCAAGAATATTTGGCTTTCATTTCCCTCAGAGGACATTCTATCAATGCTATGTCATCCCTGTTTCATGCGAAAAATCTATCAATCCACTGCACATAAAGTACCTTGACACTGCCTACTAATATAAGTTGTGGGGGGATAGTACCAGCAGGAATGTTTAAATAGCTGCCAAGAAAAGTGCAAGCTAGCACTAAGGACATGAAAGCTATCCAGCCACTTAATGTATTTTCTTTGATCAACATGATTTTTGTACGTCTTAAACTCAAACTGAACTGAATCCCACAGCTAAAGCAACAGGATTTCCCATCTACCCTACCCCCTAACAAAAGCAAACAAACAAAATCCCCAAATGAGGGTTATCACCTCTTTATCAAAGTGAAGAGGGGAAGCATATATGTAAATAAGTGAAATATGGTGATGGCAACATATTCAAAAGCTATTTCTCCATCCCCTGTGGCTGGCCATGGTAGGCCAAGTCTACTATAAGCAGAGGGAAAAATATCTGTACACATGGACTGTTGATGCTGGAACAGGGCCATATTCTTCAACAAAATTATAAACTTGTTTATATTTTGCATGCATCCATAATTGTTTGCAAGTTATTGCTCATATTTACTATGGAGAACTTCAACAGTTTTGTTCTGATTTCATGCTTGATTTTTTTTTGCCCTGTAAGCATTCAAGCTATGCAAACGTGGTTGTTTAATTTTAGACAACAAACTGCTTCTTTAAATTAATTTACCATCCAGTTTCTAGACAATAACTAGTTTATCAATTTTAAATAAAGTAAATACTGCCAAGACCTCAATTCCAATACATCCCAGACGTGAGTTTTGAGATTGTGAACCCAAATGCTAATTATTTGAAGGAAATATTTGGAGCCAAAATTCCAAGGGAAAAAATGCACACTTTAAACAGAGTTTGAGATTGAGACTGGCAGTTGTTTTTTTTCCCAGCTGAGAGATGGAGTGGAGGAGGGAAAGCATATGATGATGATGATGTTCCTTGAGGCCAACTAAAGTTATAAAATATAGCCATCTGTAAAGATTTCAAAAGTCTTCATTAAGCACGATACTTAAAAATTTAGGAGGAAAAAACATAGAAGGGAAACGTGGCTACGTTTTAAGCCATATCTGCACCACATTAGCTATTAAAATGTTGCAATAGTTTGCAGTCATAAAACTGGGCTCTTGCAGATCCAGAACAAATAACTTTATTTATAATATGTTTCTATTTTAAAGTAGCAACTCTAACTTCAAACTCTCTTGCCCACAATTTTTGAGTATTAATCTAGACACTGGTCCTGTTTTCCCCAGCTATGACAGCAGAGAAAAAGCAATCTATCAGGTTGCTGTTGATCTGTTTCTTATTTTGCCAGCATAATACAAACTGGAAAATGCTACAGTGCAAACAAACTGACTATACTGTGGTCTTCTTCATTACTAGGTTATAAGCCTAGAAAAGTCTTTCCAAAAGTATTTTTCTGAAACACTTAAAAACTATTTATCACCCCGGAGCATAATAATCCTATGTTTTGTTTCCATACGACGGCTGTTCCTTAGGAAGTGAGGGGCAAAAATAAAGATAGCTAAAAGATGCTACATAACGTAAAGAAAAATAAACCAAAATCTATCCAGATTACTAGAAACCATAGTCCCAGTCAGCCATTATGGAACGGGAAAGTGTTGTGCAGGCAGTCAAAAAGATTTGGAAATTAGGGTTAGTGTATTGTTTTGGAATACCAAATCAGCCAGTTCAAAATGCAGTCAGAAACAGAAAAAAAAGTGTGTGGGGGGGGGGGGGCAATCTTATTATGACTGCGTGTGTGTGCTTCTCTCCCTTTACAGTTATTGGTTTTTAGGATCGCAACCAGTGTTCTGATGAAAATAAAGATCAGATTCTATAGCAAGGGTGGGCAACTGATTTTCTCAAGTAGTCACATGAGAAACTGGGATTGTTGTGGAGAACCGATGCCCACAACAGCCAATGCTCCCCCACTCTTGAGTTTCCTCTCCCTACCACTGCGCTGCCAATGTTGCTCTGTCCCCTGCTGACAACCCCTCGCTGATGCCTCCACCCCCACCAACATCACAGACCATTCAGGGACAGCTGAAGAGCCATAAAATGCCCCACAGCATTGTTCAGAGCAAATTTCTGGAAAGAGGCAGCCAGATTTTCTTCTTTATTACCAATCATTGTTTAAGAACTCACCAGCATTCATATCTTTGAACTTCTGCTTTAAGTCAGCCGGTGTGAGACGGTACTGGTCAAGACCATCGTTCCAATAAATTCGATCCAGGACTTGGAGATCACCACCCACAAGCCAATCCCCTTGTTCCATAACCATCTAGGAAACATAAGAAAGCAAACAGAATCAATAGCAATATAAATAGGACGAGAGAATGGAATGGAATGGAATGGAATGGAATGGAATGGAATGGAATAGAATAGAATAGAATAGAATAGAATAGAATAGAATAGAATAGAAGAATAGTAGAATAGAATAGAATAGAATAGAATAGAATAGAATAGAATAGAATAACAGAGTTGGAAGGGACCTTGGAGGTCTTCTAGTCCAACCCCCTGCTTAGGCAGGAAACGCTATACCGATTCAGACAAATGGTTATCCAATATCTTCTTAAAAACTTCCAGTGTTGGATCATTCACAGCTTCTGGAGGCAAGTTGTTCCACTGATTAATTGTTCTATCAGGAAATTTCTCCTTAGTTCTAAATTGCTTCTCTCCTTGATTAGTTTCCACCTATTGCTTCTTGTCCTACCCTCAGGTGTTTTGGAGAATAGCTTGACTCCCTCTTCTTTGTGGCAGCCCCTGAGATATTGGAACACTGCTATCATGTGTCCCCTAGTCCTTCTTTTCATTAAACTAGACATACCCAGTTCCTGCAACTGTTCTTCATATGTTTTAACCTCCAGTCCCCTAATCATCTTTGTTGTTCTTCTCCGCACTCTTTCTAGAATCTCAACATCTTTTTTACATCGAGGCGACCAAAACTAAATGCAGTATTCCCAGTGTGGCCTTACCAAGGCATTATAAAGTGGTATTAACACTTCACGTGATCTTGATTCTATCCTTCTGATAATTTATGTGAACATGGCTCTGAGCATCCTAAGAGAGACCAGGTTAATCCCAATATCTGGTATTGTTGTAACAACCTTTGTGTTGCTTTGTGCCATAAATTACTCACATGCACTAACATACTAAATTGTCCTCAACTTATAACCGGGCGCTTAGCGACTGTTCATGTCACAATCTACCTGAAAAAGGGGACCTACGACCCGGAACCAAAGTTCTGACAGTCCCTGCCCATGGTCACATGACCACATTTCAAGTACTTGCCAACATGTTTATGATCATTTGCAATGTCCTGCAATCCTGTCACCACATTGTATGATGGTTTTACCACTTATTTCTGGTTTTGGGCAAAACTACACCATAGCAAACAATGGATTCAAGTTAATGACCATAGTATTTGCATTTACGATTACTGTGTTTGCTTAGTAACTGCTGCAAAAAATGTCATAAAAATCAGGTCAGTCACGTAACCAACCCATTTTATGACTGTTACAACTTATGACTGTATTGTGCTCCATTATAGTTGTAACTCAAGGACTACCAGTATCAGAATTTCTTATTAACTTTCCCCAACAATTTCACATTTCCTCAAAATTTAGGTTAGCATGTTATGCTACGGTTTTCCTACAAACTCCTATGTTTTGCATTACCGTACATTGATTTATCCTATTGAAACCTGAAAAATAATCTGGAAAATATGTCTTTATACCTCTTCAAAAGCTATGAGGCCATTATGTCTTTGAGAAGACATGATGGGGTATGGATAATTACTATAGATAAGCCTATTGAGTACTGAGTATGATCAAGAAAAAACAGGAATTATTTCACTGATCCTGCTATAAATTAGCTTGAATCTAAATTTAGGTTCATCGTTACTATTAAGAGACCAGCTTAATGGATAATTTAAACTGCTTGTCAAAATAAAAGATGAATTGAAGTCTGGACTCTGTTATTTTAATCTGGTGGAGGCCTGAGGCAGAAAGGGCAGATGTTTTTTCTGTCATTACTGCTGAATAATTCATTTCAGAGTGTTTCCTCTAGGATCACAAATCTATATTTATAAGCCAGAGGACAGAAACTGCTGTCCAGTTCAGTGACAATCTATGAGGTTTACATGAATTTCTTTGTACCCAAAGATATGCAATCACTGTAGACTTACTTCAACAAGCTAAGCACGAAAAGACTGTAGAGAAATGATTAATGTAACAACAGGGTTATCTAAAAATCTAGGTAAAAAGGTTTGTACCAATTTAGGGCGTGTCAAATTTTTCAACTTTCAATTTCCAAACTTTTAGGGGTGCTCAAAAGTTGTGACATGCCTTGGGGGTTGTAAAGATATTTTGGTTACTTTAATATAATTTAGATGTGCTTGGTAAGTAACTACATCAATATCATAACTTTTTAACATTTTGTTTGTTTCATAATAGGGCACAGGTAGTGGTGCCATGGCCTAGAGGTAGACCTCTCACGTCACAATCAGGAGGCTGTGAGTTCGATCCTAGGTAGCGGCAAATCTCTCTGGGAACAAGGTAAAGATCAGCTGCGAACTCTGCATTGGTGATAGGAAGGGCATCTGGCCAGTAAACACTCAGCTCCACTCAGTTGCCCTGATTTCGCCCCGCAAAGGATTATGGGGTCATTGAAAGACAAAAAAAAAAAATATAGAGAGCAGAGGTCCCCAACCTTTCTGGTTCCACGGATCAGCAACAGCGGTGCTGGGTGAGGGGATGGTTTTGTGCGTGCAACCTAATTCTGCACATGCACAAATGAAGCATGGTATGCTCACCCAGTACCGGTCCGAGATCCAGGAGTTGGGGACCCCTGCCATAGGGAACATACTGCAAACACTCCAATAATCTTATTCACCAAACTTATTTATAACCATATTTACATTATAGAGGACTCCAGATTAATGATAAAATTATTATCATTATTAATAATGATAATTATTAATAAAATAAAATTATTAGCTTGAAAACATTACCTTGATATATGGGTGCTCTTTGCACGTTGTTCCCCACTGTCTGGCACAACGTTCTTCTTTTCGGTGTTCGTAGAACTCCGGATTGCGAACAATAGCTACGCGCCGATCATCATATAGCAAGGCGAAAGCTGTGCATCCATCCAGTCTCTCCTTGTCCTCTTCTGTAACTGCCAACACTATAGGCACTGATAAATTAATGACTCCACCTTAAAGAAAATTAGTAACAGGCATTTAAATTACAAGGATCTTCAATTCCCGGGGGAAAAAATTAAAATTAAGAATTGGCAAACCAGAACAATCAATTTCAAAAATTCAGAACAATGTACATCTCTTCTTGTGCAATTCATTTCTGGAATCAAAGAACATGACCCAAACCTTCAGATCAGTTGGTTCTGAAGGAGGAATGGAACATTTCAGAGAATAATGGAACATTTCAGGAGCAGACCATATGTTCTGCACACAATTATTCTAAACTACAGTGTTCTGACAATATATCATGCTTTGATGATGAATAGATGAAATCCGTTGCTGGTTCTATTCTTGAGGTATAGACCTGCTTAGCAGTTTCTGGATTTTCATTCCTCACCAATATGATCAGAGTAACAAATAATAAACTACAGTTCTACTCTAGGACAGCAAATGAGAGATTCCTTTCTCTGCATTGCAGAGTATCTTTCATTCCAACATTTCATTTTCTCTAAAAAAGCAAATTGCAGCTGTTGGTCAAATCCTTTGTTTCAGCATTGGTTTGCTGCTGCAATCTTTTCAGGGTTCTGGAGCAGTTGCAATATCACTGAACCCAACAGAAAAAAGATCACATGAAAGGATAGATTACCCATATTCCTGACTCGTGAAGATACAAGCATTCAAGATTGGGTATTCAAGAGTCATTTTACCATACAAAAATGAAGAATGTGATCTTTGAATTCAAATCACCAGCATTTTCCAATCATATATTTCCGTATTATAAAATTGATACAATAGCAGGCTTGGCTTCATGAAATCTTTTATTTATAGAATAGAATTATAGAATTCTTTATTGGCCAAGTGTGATTGGACACACAAGGAACTTGTCTTCGGTGCATAAGCTCTCAGTGTACATAAAAAATACAGTCATCAAGAATCATAAGTTACAATACTTAGTGATAGTCATAGGATACTAAATAAGCAATCAAAATCATAGGAATCTAAATAAAACAATATAAATTGTAAAGATACAAGCAACAAGGTTATAGTCACAAGTAAAAGGAGATAGGTAATAGAAAGGATGAGAAGAATAATAGTAATACAGTCTTAGTAAATATTTGAAAGTAAACGTAAGAGAAATATTACAAATACACTGATTTATTAATATGGTAAAGCTAATATTCAAGAAATCCATCAATGTTAATATTACGTCAATTATAATACAGGGGTTTTACTCTAAACTGATCAATGTTATTAACAGTTCATCATTATTCCAAAATATGGGTTTACCATAATGATGAAAAAATATGTTTCAGCCCAATAGTTTAAACATATATTAATAAATAAAATTCTCATCAAACCCAGTGCGCATGGCCAATGGTAATGTCCAAAACATCTGGAAGCTACCAACTTGCCTACTCTTGGGTTGAACCTTTACTACTCCCTGTTTACTACTTCAAGTTTCAACAACTGCCAAATTTCACTTTTTTCATGCTTCCAAGATGTCTTTACCTAAAATTCCTAGCCTAACATGTATTGTTAAAATACTGGATATTGTATCCAGTATTGATGGTGACTTATGCTTTTAAGACATCAACTCTTTCCTTATAGTTTTGGGGTGGGGGGGGTTGTGAAGCTCATAAAGAAGCCTCTTCTCTATAACTCTTTCTTTCAATGAACTTTCCATGTAAACCAAAACAATGAAAAGATATAGTCAGAACACAGGGTCATTGAATAAGAACAGGAATACCAATTTATATTTTGAGGGAAAGGACAAGATGAGAAAAACAGAAAACCAAGACCAAGTTCAGTAAGACAAAGCTAAAAAAAAACCCCACATGAGACCATAGCCTGATGAATAAGCCTATCTATTATGGTTTGCAAATTATGGATGACTAGGGCTTAGCCATAGAATTTTGCTGAAACTGTTTCTGGATCTAAACCCTATTGCTCTATCAGAAGCATGTCAAAGACTCATTCTCTAGAATTTGTGGGTGTCGCCAGGACAAAATTTTTAAAAATGTTTTACATATTTAATTAAAACTGAATATAACCAACATGATTACTCACCAGATGCATACTTAATAATGTCCCACTTCTGTCACATTCAACTTGTAATTTTGTTTTGAAGTCTCCCAGGGCCAAATATAGCCCAGGACCTTGAGTTTCAAATAAACAAAGGCTTGATGAAATATAATGGCCCAGCTCCGAAAGAATAAGGATATTTTCACATTTCTAAGTTGGAGTCTAGCCTAATTTTTTCACATACACAACTGATTATTATTAAGTGCAAATGGGAGAATTATATACAGTTTCTCTGCAAGATTAATGGACTGTGTGGCCAATTTGAAATGTCTTACCATCCAGTAGACAGTCAAAATGAAGGCACTGAAGATATTCTCTTTCTCTCATAAAGCCATTAAGTGGGGTTGCCCATCCCTCCGCAAGAACTTGAACCCACTGCATATCAACCTGTAAATACACATTTCATAAATCCTAGATTTAATGCAAAGTCTGTGCACCATCAGAATAAAAGCATTCATTTAGAAAGACAATATGTGAACAATTTGGTGAGTTATGATTCTTAGTTCATCCATGTCAGGGTGCTAATTAATCCCATTCTGCTTTTGGGTAATCGCACCTTGATTTAGAGACGTGGATCGTGGCATTTTCCTTGTGTATACGTTAAGAAAATAAACCCCCAAGATATTTTTTCTAAGAAAAACTCATTTATTTGTTATAAAGAAAATAAAACATCTCACTATCTAAATAATTACATTTTGGCAACGTTCCTGCCTGCCACCCCTCTGTGGCCAGACCTCTCCTGGCAGGAGAACAAAGAAAGTGTGAAGTAGAAAGAAAGGAATGCGGACATGCGTAGTGGATCAGAGATAAGGACTTGGCAAGCTACGGAAAGTCTGAATGTCCAAAAATATGAACTCATCTGGTAAATACAAAAAGCAGTGACAATCCATATATAGATCATATCAAAACAATACATGAGCAGTGTTTCACAACTTTGGCAGCTTAAAAATGTGTGAACTTCAGCGAGCTGGGGAATTCTGAAGGTTGAAGTCCACACATTTTCAAGGTGCTCAGGTTGAGAAACACTTCATAAGAGGGTTGTGACATGTTTAAATTACCATGTTTCCCCCCAAATAAGTCCCTGTCTTATATTTTTTTGAACCCCAAAATAAGTGCTTGGCCTTATTTTCGAGGATGTCTTATTACTTTGGGGAGCAAGATGGGCTCCTCTTACTGTTTTACCTGATTTCCAGTGTCTTCCTAACCCTAACCAGAGGAAATGGCGAGGACTGGCTGCGCATGTGTTTAAATATTTTTGGGGAAGGCTTATTTTTGGGGAGGGCTTATTTTCAGCAGGGGCTTATTTTAGCACATTATCAGGGGATGCCTTATTTTAGGGAAAACAGGGTATTCATCATTACGGAGAATAAGAAAGCAAAACAACTTTCTATGTGTAAGCTGCTTATAGAAACGATCTCGTTCAAGATTTGTTCATATTTGATTGTGTTCATTAAAAATGTTCATTTTAAGTTTTGGGTGTCCACTCAGATATGTATGTAGGAAACGCAAGAGAGTAATTAAATTGCATGGGTAGTTTAGTGAGTTATAAAGGCTATAGAAAGGAAGCATCAATCAAATGAATTTGTAAATCTAAAAATACAAATCAATAAGATAGTAGAAATTAAGCTAATCGAAGATTTAAAAAATAGGTTAAAAAAACACAGTGAAAGTAATAAATAGCTTGATGGAATTAAGGGAACAAATGCTGCAAATGCAGGAAAGATGCCATAGTAGAAAATATGGAAACACTATGCGATTGGTTAGCAAAATAAAATAGGCCAATCTAATAATGCCAGTGATATCAATACTTATTAAGAAACAGACGTTTTCCAGAATCATTGGCACTTAGGCAAATTAGATGAATTTGAGGGTGGAAAACAATTATCTCTTTTGTGTGTGTGTTAAGCCAGGCTCGTAAATAATTATCTGATTCGCTCATATAAACAAAGTATTTCTGGCAGTAGAACAAGTGTTTTTGCAATCTGGATGACTGGGACAGTTTTTCTTTGTAGCATAAAATATGACAAAAGTTTATAGGTAAAAAAAGATGTGTGGCACAAATAACTAAGTCGAGGTATATGTGAACAAATGAAGTATTACTTGTGTAAACTTATTTGCAAGTTCCCCATTACCTTATTTATTTCCAAAGTTGGCAATGTTTCTGCATCTGTTTTGGCCAGCTTAAGCTTATTTTCAGGCACATATAGTTCTTTCACCTCATAAGAGGCATCTACTGGTACAATATCCTATGAGAAAAAAAATGGATGAACAAAAGTTATTTAAGCATCTTTGATGCTAAAAAGCAATTTTCTCATCAGTTGGATTTGTGCTATTAGTTTAGTACTTGAAAGTTCTGAAAAAAACATTGTTTTGGCAGTGCTATTTCTGGAAAATGTAGCACCCCCGAGAATTCTTAGGGATATTAATAAATATATTTGGTACAGATATAGTCTTCGACTTACTACAGTTCATTTAGTGACCGTTGAAAATTATAAGAGCACTGAAAAAAGAGATTTACGGCCATTTTTCAAATTTATGACCATTGCAGAACCTCCATGGTCATGTGATCAAAATTAAGATGCTTGGCAACTGACTCTTATTTATGACAGTTCCAGTGTTCCATTTCTTTTGGATGAGAAGCGAAACACCTTCAAAGAAAAGCAAGAAAGTCCAGTTGCTTCTTGAAAAAAGCGCCTTTGGGACAACCATGTCCTGGATGACTGAGAATCTCCACAGATACTCCCAGAAAAATACATGCAAGCAAGAAAAGACAGTTTTCTCCTCCTTCACTTTTAAGGGAACTGGGCCAGGGAGGACTGGGTTTATGTTGCTTCCTTCAGAGAAAGTGCAAAAACCGTTTGTTCCCTCTCAACCCACTAAGTCATATTGCATAAAGTGCTGCTCAAATTGCAGCCACGCCAGGGCTCTCCAACCTTGGCAACTTTAAGACTTGTGGACTTCAACTCCCAGAATTCTTCAGTCAGAAAAGCCAGTTGAAGTCCACAAGTCTTAAAGTTGCCAAGGTTGGAGACCCCTGAGCTATGCAGTCTTTTATTCCTCATCTGCTTTCTCTGGGTGTTGAGAATGGGCAATTGTCCAGTGAGAAATACAAGTGTGAAGATGAAGCCGTTGCTCCCCAAACTCCTGGCTTGTAGACAATGCCATTGCCTCTCTTTCGAGAGAACGTATTTTGGATTAAACCAGGACCATACAACATAACATTTGCTGAACAGCACGTAGAAGTATGCAGACAACCAGAACAACACTCAAGTGGGAAAGGAACATGATGGAGTCACCACAAAGTTAATTTCTCGCCGATGACACATCCCCAAAATTATTTATAACTAAAAACAGTTTTAAAATTTGGTGCCTACGCAGCCTCTGCTCTCATCCCAAATAAGAGCTATATAATCTTTACAAAGCTGTCGGGTTTGCTTTGATTTTGAAGCTGGAAAAAATACCCTGCAGTTTCCTAAAATAATGCAGTTGTTCACAAGTCATAACAAACGTTGTCTGGTCTTTAGTTCTTCCATTTACTGCAAGTAATATGAAGCTGGAATATCTTCAGCAGAATATTCTCAAGAGATACAGGAACTAGATGAGCTGGGAATCCTCTATCTAAGCCTAATTAGTATAGTTTGAGTAAACAGCTTAATAGGATACAGTGGGTACATCAATGAGAAATTAATAAGGGAAAGGGTTCTCAGAGGGAACAGCGACTGTTGTCCTATGAAGCCAGATTGTTTATAAGCAAAAACTGATTATTGGAAAAACATCCATCAAAGCATTTAGAAATCTGCCACAAAGGTTTGTGCTTATAACATCTGGGCAACTGCCATTTGGTCCTCTGAAAATGCACGTGACTACCCACTGACAGATGCAAAGACAAAAACTACTGGTTTCAAAAAGAACTGGAGCCTCCTTTTATACATTGTTATTGAATAAAAACTGTTAAGCAACATCATTAGAAAATTTGGGACAAAATAATATTCCGGCCTGGTTTCAACCTTGAAACAGCTAAAAATGTAGAGCAGGTTCTATCACATTTGTGCAAAAACTAAAGCTAATGTATCAAACAAACAAGTCTAAAATAGACTGATCTCAGCATCAATTCAGGCAGTTATGACATTCATCCATTTGATTTTCAGTGTATGAAAAGATGCGAAATAAATATGGCTTCTACTTGCCTTAAAAAGAAGGCGACCAGACTGATACCGTATAAGGTACTCAATGAATGCACAAATTCCATTTCCCAATAACAGAAAATGCAATTGTTTCCTTGCAATATTTTGTAACTATTTAACAGTAAATATTATTTCTTTAACAGAATTGTAAAAGTCCTTTCTGTATTATAATAGTCTCAAGTCTAAAGTGAGACTTGAAAGTTATATGGCGTTATAATTAACAGTTTCAGAAATTATTCACATCATTAAACTAATGAAATGATTTATTTACAGAACTTCAATTTTGTACTGGATACAAATTACTTATAAACATATGTCAAAAATTATTATTTATTAAAATCAAAATACCATGTTAATGTTTTTTATCAAACACAGAAATTAGACTTGTATAAAGAGAAACATTTAAATGTATATTGTTTTATTTTGAAAAAAATGTGTTCTAAACAATCTCTTACCAAACTAATAACAATGGGAGATTTTTAGAAACAACTTTATGGGTTAAAATATTTGCTTTTATATAACAAGCTATATTTTTTCCTACTTTGTTTCTGGTTTGCTTCAATGTAATTTGCTCTAAGCAAAGAATCAATCATGTCATAAGATTCTTATCAATTCTACTAGTTCAAACATGTGAGCCAATGCATATATTACAGTAATTTGCATTTCAACAATGCACCAGAAAGGTAAACATTGGTATATCAACAAAATTAGGCTGAGAAATGAAATTCGTTCATTTATTCTAAATTTTGAAATATTTAAAGATTTAACACATGCACACATATATAATATGTATATTCATTAAATGTAATGTACCTGGTACATATATACATAGTTATTAAATACTAGTTTAGATTAGAAATAAATCCTCAGCTAATACTTCGGAACTGCTCTGTGGAAACACTATCTTAGAAGGCCCTCTAGTGACAATTTGAAAATTGTGCTGATTTGACAATGAATGTTACTTAAAAAAAATACCCCAAGATAATAACTAAAATACCCATTGCTCCTAATTTCAATGCCCTTGTCATAAGGCACTGATTTTGACATAGGTACAAATGCACTAAACTCACATTATCTTAATTTACCCAGCTAACAATGTTAGGTAGTACAGGTAGTCCTCCACTTACAACAGTCCATTTAATGACCATTCAAAGTTACAATGGTACTGAAAAAAGTGACTTATGACTATTTTTCACACTTACAAACATTGCAGCATCCCCAAGGTCACGTGATCAAAATTCAGATGCTTGCAACTGACTCATATTTATGACCGTTGCAGTGTCCTGGGGTCATGTGATCAGCTTTTGTGACCTCTTGACAAGCAGAGTCAATCGGAAAACCTGATTCACTTAAAAACCGTCTTACTAATTTAACTGCAATGATTCATTTAACAACTGTGGCAAAAATGGTCCTAAAATGGGGCAAAATTCACTTAACAACTGCTTCTCTTAGCAACAGAAATTTTGGGCTCAACTGTTGTCGTAAACTGAGGATTATTTATAGTCATTGACAATTGGATAAAAACTGTACACTTTCTAAGGAATTGTATCTGTTATGAAATCCATGCCAGCAAATTTACTCTGCAAGTGCCTAATAACAATCTCACAGCAAGCTTTTGAAGATTCCAGCATCACTGCCCAAACTAATAAGCTTTTGATTAGTAAAAAACACAAAAAGGAAGCTGTGTGCTGGATAGTTCATGAGGATGCAGTAGGGCTAGATATTACATATGTAAAGTCTGAAGGGGGTTAGAAAATGATTTTTAACTTCTATAGTTTCTGTATAAAGATTAACTTTAAGACATGCAAAACTAATTATGAATCTCTATCAGCCTGCAGAGTGGAAATAGTTTTAGCCTTAGCTTTGTATTTTCTTTCCAATGAACTGGTTGTGACTTGTTATTCTTTGACATTCTCCACCAACAATGCTGATTTTGAAAATATTGCAGGGATGTTGTTTCCAGCTATTTTTACCTGCATAGTTGAGCGCGTAAGCTGAAGTTGGAAAATGACTAGTATGTGAAGATGTACAGTGGACTGATCTATAGAATACAGCAAAGCTTCCTTGAATAAAAGCCAATTATGGGACTCTAAGAGGTGCATCATTTATATTAGAAAACAGATTTCCCCAAAATCTGATAGTCTGAATAAACCAGTAAAGGACAACTAGTAAAGGACAAATTCTCCTTAATCACAGAACAGAAAATAGTAAAACAAAAGCCAACCATATTTATAACTGATAAGAACAATTCATTCAGGTCTGTTTTCTCTCCTTTGAAATACACTGTTTCCTCTCCTTTGATTCTAAATTGTAGTTTCCCCACTGAAAACAATTTTTCCCATGACTGTATAGACCAAAGAATGGAATATATATTACCACAGTCGATGCTGCAAATAACTTAAAGAGCAACCAATAAAATCAGGCTATTCTTTCATATTGATACACAAATTGTTAAGGTTGATCACATGCCAACTTTGGGAATCTCTAAATCAACAGATATTTCACGGCTTTAAAGGAATAGAGTACAAAATTTGAAAAATTCAAATGCACAAAAGTTGGTCCTATGGTCTAAATACTGTGTTTCAGCTCGCAGAAATATCCTAAATGTTTGGGAGGCTTTCTCCCTGCAGACATACCCCAACACATAGACAGAGGTGAGGATTGAAGAGGAAGCCATTTTGAGTACAAGAGAAGTTTAGAATTCAATATTTAGAGCCTTCATACCCGTTCTTGTAGAAGTTCCACAACTTGTTGAACGCAGTCATTGACATCACAGGAATCTGTTTTGAGTACCAACTCGGGAGCTTCAGGTTTTTCATACTCTGAGTCAATGCCAGTAAAACCTGCATGAAAAACAAAACTTAACACACTTCAGCACTTCAGGTGAGTGACTTGCCCAGGAACCTTACACATATATTTTAGTTTAAAATAATAAGGAAGTGAACAGCATGCTATAGACTTAATATGTACCTTGATTGCTTTGGCAACTGCTGTTTTTTTTAACTCACTGTATACAAAGCTAAACCAAAGTGTTTGCAATAAATAGTGCAGATGTATTTAATCCTTATTCATCCTGGCAAATAACCTACCTGAATATTTACTAATGTACACAAGTTTGAAGGTCAAAATAATCCAGGCAAATTAAAATGTTAAGTGATATCAGCAAAGATTTTAAAGAAAGAAAACCCAAGCAAGCAAATGTTAATCATTAATGGACGAGAAAAGTAGTAATTAAAACTTTTACCTATATCTATTTGTTCTGCTTAGAAGGGTCACAGTGTTCTGGCTCTGCTAAGGTATTTGATTTGCAATGCCAGATAATTATAAGGAATCACAATTCGTATATACAATTAATGAACTTTAGTATCACCTACAGAAAGACATCTATTATAATCCATCTTGATTCATTACTCCAATGACTAGAGTGAGATAATATCCATCTAGTGATCTATCTTAACAAAAAGTCAACTAGAGAGCATTTCTATCTGCAGACTATCTCCATCTGCAGACAGACCAAAATAATACTTACAAAAAAGAAAAGAAATGCTTCTAAGCCATCAGAGCAAATGATATAAACTTTCTTCTGTAGCTTTAAGAACTGTGACTTAATATAGCATTTGAATACACGTAGTGGTGGTGGTTTGCCTTGTTTTATTGAAGAAGGCATATAACAAGTTACAGAACCGAGGTGGCGCAGTGGTTAGAGTGCAGTACTGCAGCTACTTCAGCTGACTGCTAGTTCAGCAGATCAGCGGATCAAATCTCATGGGCTCAAGGTTGACTCAGCCTTCCATCCTTCGACGTGGGTAAAATGAGGACCCAGATTGTTGGGGGCAATATGCTATTTAGTATACTGTCTTTGGTGTAAACCACCCAGAGTCCTCAGAGAGTGGGCGGCATAGAAATATGACTAATAAAAATAATAATTAAAAAAAAACAGGTTGATTAAACTGGAAACTGTTTCTACAAATCACAATGACTAGATTTAAACATCATTTTAAGACAAAAGTAAACAAATGATGTTACAGCATGAAACAGGAACTGAACAACAGTCTCTCAATTCTGTATCATAAATGTAAAATAAAATAAATATAAAATAGGGAAACAACATACCAGCCTAAGTATTCTAGAAAAAAGTGGTAAAATGCTGACTGTCAGCCTCACCTTTAATTTCACCAGCACGAGCTTTTTTATAGAGGCCTTTCACATCCCTCTGTTCACAAACATACAATGGAGCATCCACAAATACTTCAAAGAAAGGAAGACTTGCTACTTCATGAATTTGTCTTGCATTGTTGCGGTCCTAAGGACAACGAAGAAAAAAATACTGTAACAAAATCTTTTATTACAATATATCTAGCCACAGCTCCATTACACAGGTAATATAAGGAAAGATTAATACAACCACCTTCCCTTGTAAGCTTAGTTCAAAGTAACCAAACTTAACTGCAGTTAAATTAGTTCAGTCCACTAATCTTGATTTGCAAAAGTTCTGGCTAGATTCCCATTTCTATTTATTTATTTATTTATTTATTTATTTATTTATTTATTTATTTATTTATTTATTTAAATTAAATTAAATTAAATTTATATGCCCCCCTTCTCCCGTAGGACTCGGGGCGGCGCACAGAATAAAAACATGTAACAATAAGAAATCCTAAAAACAGCCAATATAAAACCCCAAACAGAATAAAATCTCGTAGCAGATCAGGGAAATTGCTGAAACAGCCATGTCTTCAGGTCAGTGCGAAAAGTGCAGAGGTCAGGGACCGTCTGGAGCCCGATGGGTAACCCATTCCAGAGGGTCGGTGTGGCCACCGAGAACGCCCCCATCCTGGGGGCCACCAGCCGACATTGTCTGGCCGGAGGAGGGCAGCCCTATGTGACCGCACAGGGCAGTGGGAGGCCGGTAGGAGGTGGTCCTGCAAGTACCCCGGACCCATGCCATGTAGGGCTTTATAGGTGAGAACCAGCACCTTGAAGCAGATCCGAAGGGCAACCGGCAGCCAGTGCAGTACATTTTAAAAATGTATGGTTATTTGAGCAAACCATAGCTGCTTGGGTCACATAGAACTGTAAGGCATAAGCCATGGTTTACAAACAGCAAGGTGGGATTTATATCTCACTTTAAGCTGAAACCATGAAAGCATTAAATCAGAGCTTATGAAGTCTAAACCCTTGTTTAGTGCAGTTTAACAAGATGTTTAAGCCCAGTCTTTGCCTGCAATAGTCAAGTTCATAAATTGCTCTAAGCCATAAAATCAAAGTTATCAGTCCTTCTACTGAATAAAAGACTAAAGGGTAACATAATATTTTATTGTACTTGAAAATTGTAATTTTCCCAAATGATATTCCAAATACAAACCACGAGTAAAAGAAACAATTTGTAATTCCTTCCATCAGAATCTGTCACTAATATCTAAGTTTATTGTCATTAAGTTTTTATTCAATGCCGCCACTTGGAAAGGTAGAAGTGCTACTGAAAGCTTCCTGAACTATAAGATTGCAATTCTAAACACTCTTGTATTTTTCAGCTGATATCTGTAATTTGCCAGAGTTAAACTGTTTTTATTCATGCCTGAACTTGAGAGTGGTCAAAAATTCTAGAGAATCTAATTGCTTAGAACATTGGCCTAGCCTATAAATAAAAATAACAATTATTATTATTAATCCAACAGAAGATAATTGTCTGTAGCCTAAAGTTAAACTGTAGAGTTAAGCAATAGTGGGTTCTAACCGGTGTTATCACTGGTTCGCTTCGCGCATGCGTTTTGCGCGCGATCAATGGTAAAATGGAAAGTATGCAATAAAAATTAGGAAAATATGCTCACCTGGGCATAAGGAGAAATAAAGCTAGTAATGCACACCAAGCCAGCATCCGCAAATAATTTAGCAACCTCAGCAATCCGACGTACATTTTCTTCTCTGTCTTCTGGTGAAAAACCTAGATTCTTATTGAGGCCTTGTCTGATGTTGTCACCATCTAAAGTATAGCATGGAATGCCGTGGCATACTAGATATTCTTCAAGTGCCATACTAACAGTGGTCTTTCCAGCTCCAGATAGTCCTACGTGGTTTTCAAACAAGCAAAGTATTAATTTGTTTCACCTATGCAGACAACTATTTTTACAAGAATAAGTTTCAGTGTTCGAAAAAGTGGAAAGACTGGCATTTATGCTTCCTGAAAACTTGAGTCAGCCTACCATATCAGCATAATAGTATCATGATTTTTATTATATTTATGCCAAAATTGGCCACAATGTCCATGAAATAAAGGAACATAAAATCTGCATAGCGAATAAAAGACATTATGCAAAATATATATTGTTTATGTATCTTGTATCATCAATTATAAGCAACAAATTAAAAGGGCTCATAGAATAGCAATCTTGGTCCAACTTTCTACAGTTTTCTTTACCTAAAATCATGTACATTCTGATCCATTCTTAGCCAAAAGACTTTTAAAATATAACTTTCAATTTAGATAAGAAAGTGAGTCTTTATACTGACTCACCATGGGTTAACATTTACCAGTGCAATTCTGCTTGAAATGAGATCAAGAATATTAAGTCACAGGTTTCCTACCAGTATTTTAATTTGCCAGTGTAACTGAGCAAATTTATCTTTCCCAGGTACATGCAGAGAAGTAAAATGAAAGACATATGATCACTGCACAATATTTTTTTCCTAAGACAAAGAGTCTTCATAAGGGGATCCTAAATTTCCTGTTTATATTTCCCAGTGTTTCCTCTTCATTTATATAAAAGTGAAGGATATGCTCTACCTTACTGTTTCTGATTCTGAAGTTTCATAATCACTTTGAAATAATGCAAGGGAAAGATAGGATTTTTTAAAAAAAACCTTGGATAGAATACAATACGTCTTAAATTGCAATAATGTTTTCCCTCTTTTCAATAAAGTGATATCAGAAGGTGATTTGACATTTTATGTTCCTGACACTTGTTAAATTATTAACTTGTACATACTGCTACTGATGTTGAGAGACAAATGGAAAAGGTTAAAGTAAACATGTTCATTAGGCAGCAGTTTTGTACCTGTTAGCCATACTGTGCATCCCCGAAATCCACTTCTGGTCCCCACCACCTGGCCCCTCTTATTTCTGCTAACATGGTGGGCTTGATAGGTGACATTGGTAGCTCTCTGCATCCCCTGAAATAAAGTAAGATTACAGGATAAAACGATACTGCTTCTTACACATCCATAAATGCCTATAAAATAGGAGAGTAAACATGAATAATTGTTATGGGAATATTAGTATAGAACACAAATGTTTTCATTTATATACTATACGACCTCAAAAATCCTAGTGGTGAATACAGCACAGTTTGATGCATTCATAAAATCCACTGGGCCACAAGCCACAGTATACGAGCCACAAGAACCAAGGTTCATACATTAGGCTATAATCAGAATTTTAATTATGGTTTGGTGACCAAATTATCACACTCACATTCATACATCAAGCTAAAATGTACAAATGAAGTGAATGATGTGAAGTCAGAACAATGAAAGAAGATCTTCCTGATATTTTTATAAAAGTGAGTATAAAAGTAACCTAACTGTGATAATCATTCAACCTTTTGCTTTATTTTTCTTTAGGTACATTATATAGCATTATTACAATTGCCCATCTCCAAATCATGACTCTAGGTGGCTAACAGTGAAAACAAGAACACTCATGGAATTCACAACAAAAGTAAAAAAACAAAACCACTAGGTCAAATTGGCACAACTATTGCACGAACTCTGCCACACATCTGAATCCCTACTGACAATACTATGCTTTTAAGGACTTGGGAAAAAATGACAAAGTTTGGACCAGTGGTGGAATTCAAATTTTTTTACTACAGTTCTGTGGACGTGGCTTGGTGGGCATGGCAGGGGAAGGATACTGCAAAAACTCCATTCCCACCCCATTTCTGGGGGAAGAATATTGCAAAATCTCCATTCCCACCCCACTCTGGGGCCAGCCAGAGGTGGTATTTGCCGGTTCTCCGAACTACTCAAAATTTCCGCTGCCGGTTCTCCAGAACCTGTCAGAACCTGCTGAATAGCATCCCTGGCTTGGACCCATCTAAGCTTGGAGGAATGATGTGCTAAAGGGCAGGAACCACCACCCAAAAAGTCTCTTTCTGGGCTCTGGCAGATAGCACTTCCTAACAAAACCCAGAACATGGCTCTTCTCCCAAATCTAATGAGACAGACAGCCATAATCAGACAGAGAAGTCCCCTGAAATAACCCAGTTAAAGTCTGTGATTTATGGCTGACCTGTTATTGTTCAGTCACTAAGTCGTGTCTGGCTCTTCACGAATCCATGGATCATAGCGTTCCTGTGTCTTCCACTTTTTCCCAGAGTTTGCCCTAATTCCCGACTGGTTTAAGACAACCCAAGACCAGGGTTGACCAACACACCATAGATAACCTCAAGGAGTAATCTCAATAGCCAACTATAAGGAGTAAGTGGAACAAACCATGATCCTAGAACTCACAAAAATGCTGATAATCACCATCAAGACTACATCTCTAAAACAAGTTAGAATACAGGAAAACAAAATTCCAAACCCAACTGCTCAAACTAAAACCCAGAACCAAAGAGGTACCTGAACTTAAATGGGTTGTCAACATCCAGCTGCCCACTATGTTCCACAGAACACAGTATCCTACAGAAAGGCCTTAACTATATGACATAGATGGTGCTAACCAGTTAGAATTCTTTGCAGCTTTGGACACAGCATTTAAAACCACAGGACTTGCCACGTTGACAAAAATTTTAGTTTCCTGGCTGAATTAAAAACGGAACTTTTGACTTCCCAGACATAGTTTGTCACTCAAATCATTAAACCAAAAGTTATCTGCAAAACATAAATATCTAGAAAACCATGCGTCTGCACTCCTGAATGTGTTCATAAAAAGCAGGATACAATACTAGTAAGACGAGCTCAATTAATATTGTTTTATACAATATGCAAGAAGAAAAAGAAAAAGATACACAAATTAAGGCAATACATTTTGGTTTCAGTTGGCCAAAAGAGATTTTAATATACAGATTCTTACAAACAGAAGCATCAGAATTATTTTAAAAATTGATTCACTGGAATTACTAGAGAACGTAAGAACCTATTAAGATGAAGTTTCTAAAGCATATAGATCAGCAGTTCTACAGACTTTAGTTTCCAAAACAAAACAAATCTCAAGTCAAAATAAAACTCAGGACAAAGAATCTTTATTCATACAGAAAATGGAGGGAATCCAGAACACTGTTAGCAATGCCCATTTCCACCTTCATAAAACATCTATACAGCATACCCAGCAGCAAGAACAAGCAATCAACTGCATACTAATCAGCTCTCCCAAAAATAGATTTTCCTCAAAAGTTATTTAATTCTATCGACCTCTGTCTATTCATTCAGGATCAAACCAAAAAGTCACAAGCTGTCAAATAACTTATGTGTTCCATTGGAATCTAAGAAGTGTTTCAATGAAGACACCATTAATACTGAAAAATAACATCTTTAGTAACTTATGAGAAAAGGGAAGCAACCTGCATTACAATAGCTTCCGTGATTTTTTTTCTTACAGTGTCACATTTATATGTAGCTTCTGTTAGAAAACAACCTCACAGATTTATTAAGAATCATTTTTTTCACTAAATGAATCAGTATGTTTTTGTCTCATTATTTAATTGGGTTCAAAAAGTTTCACAAACTTTTAACCACCATTGTATTTCAATTGTTCATCAGCTACGCAGAACAAATCAAATACTTTGTTAACAGTGTAAGCGTATTAATCAAAAGGTCACCAATCTAGCAACTCCTAATGGGTAAAAATGTGTAAAGATTTGTTCTAGTCCGGTTCAATATCCATGCAGAAGATTTGTAGTAACAATGTATAAATGGGTGCTTTTTTGCAGAATATTTAATATTTTCCAGATTATGGGATGTATATACCCTTAGAATTCCTCAGTGGTCTAGCCAAATGCAAATCAGATCTATCTTTCCTGAATGCAAATGTTGCTTTAAAAAAAAAAAAGGTAATTTTTACAAGTTACCACACCATTAACTTGTTCATGTAATCTGGTTATAGGTTAATTAATTAAATAAATAGCTCTAAGAGCCACATAATTATCCTGTACTAACTTAAAAAGATGCAGAAGCCATCATGGTGTACAATAAATTTTAAAACCACAAAATAAAAACAGATTAGCGATCAATGTTGATGAACATCTTATATGCACTGTGTAGGGTTTTCAGGTACAACTTGAAAGCCTTAAGGGAATGGCAGATGTCATTCTATATTTGATCCTAGTCTATTTACTGGCTCAATTTGCAAATGGGGAACCATGTCCAATGAATTATTCCTAGGTCAGAAAAATACAGTATGCTTCTTCTTGTATGAACTCAACCTTCCTATACATTTTTAACCTACAAAGATGCTTTGTTCCATGTCTGTTATCTCTAGTAAATATGACATCTGGGTTTTCTTCCAGCTAGCTACTCCATCCTCTATTCTCTCCCTATTCTCTCAGCTACTATGAGAGTGAACACATTAATGTGTGCATTATATGGACTGCACTATGACCACTAACCAACAGCAAAGAATCCCATAATGTTTTGTTACTTTCTGGTGGTCATTTCTGCAGCCCAGATGTCACTCAGGTTATCTCTGATTCCAGGACACATTTATTGTCAGATATCACTTTTCCTCAAGATAGTATTTTCATTATTATAACATAGGCTATCCCAAGGCAGCATGGGACTTGTAGTCCACCACACACCCAGAGAGCACCAAATTGGAGAAAAACTGAACACACTCACTATTTTGTGTCTGGAAAGGCACAATGACAGGGACTGCCAATTTTCTAACCTTTGGCTAGTACTGTAAATTTAATCTATCACACACACATACACTCATACACACCAATGGATGAAATCCCACGTTTGTTCAAACCTAACCTGGAATGAGTGCTCTCATTCAAAGAACAGCTCCACAAAGCGCCTTCAGCCGCCCAAGATTTATGAATAGCCACATTGTATACCAGAGATTTCAGCCTCTCCACCACCCCCTTCCGCCTATACTGAAAGAAAGTGATACTGAAGGGTGTCGATTCGGCATTTCCTCGGATGTCTCAACCCTGCATTTTTTTTTTAATTTATTTATTTTTTTGGCCGCTCGGCATTTTGAAAGGAGCAAACAGCGATCCTCCCTGAAGTCCTGAAAACGGATCCTCCATCACAAAGCCCTGCGAAGAGACACGTAGCGAGAAGATCCCTTCCCTCTTTTGGGTTTTGCCCCTTTCTCCAAAGCACAAATAAATAAATAAACTGCTAAAGGCAGCTCACTCAATGGATCCAACTCTTCTCCTACCTAAGCGGATGCAACCCGAATTATTATTGCACCTTCCAAGCAGACGCTGCTGCTTCCCCTTTCCAAGCCTGCCCATTTGGCCCCATCGGAAAACGCAGCTTTATACCGGGGAGGGTGGGGGTGAGACATTCCCCGTTCAACGGCTGGCTCTAGGGCAGCAAAGGGCTTCCATGCCCCCCAGGTTTCCTTCGCCTCCGGCGGCACCGTCAGCCCGCTTCCTCACCTTGTGCCCTTCCTTCCTTCTTCCTTCCTTCCTTCCTTCCTTCCTTCCTTCCACCCATCCACCCATCCATCCCCGTCGAACCTACCCAGCTCTGCACTTTGTTGCTCAGCTTGACTTTTTTGCACTGGCTGGTGGGCAAATCCATTCGCGGCGGGCGCGGTAAAAAGCCGGAGGCGGAGGCAGCGGGTGGGATGATGGCGAGAGGAGAGAATATAAGGGAGGCGGGGACTTTTTAACAAGAGGGAAGCGAGGAGCGACGCTAATAATGTTGCGAGATGCCGGTTTGGGCACTTAAGAGGATCTTTCCCAGGTTGCTCCCGATCTGGTCTTGGAGAGATGCGGAGGGAAGAAAGGGGAGGCGGGGGTGTGCGAGAGGGGGTGGGGCGCGCGCCGCGGCGAGCGTGGACCGAGGCTGCGCGCGCACCCACCCCACTGTTTCCGTCGGCTTCTCTCTTTCCCGCTAGGTCTCCGCGCAGCCCAAGCTTGGGGCGGCCTAGCTAGCCGGCTGTCAGCCGACTCTACTGTTAAAGACGGGGAAAACGGCGTTTTCTAATTCAAGGAGAAAGGGCCGAGGCTTCCGGTTTGCCGCTCTAGCCCGCACAGGATCGTCTCGTTCGTGGGGAAAACGGCCTTCCCAGAGCTTGGGGTGGGGAGAGCGAGGGGTTGGGATGCCCCGGCGGATCTTCGGGGAGGCAGGAAGGGATTTTTTTTTTTCAGCTGCCTCAGCGCGGCTTCTTTTCTGTCTTCTAAATTACGATGATAATTAAGTTACCCTTCAGGAATAGATTTCTTTTTCTTTCCAGGACACTAAATGGAAACCTTGCTCTTAAGGCTGGAGTTGTAGTTCAACACATCTAGATCAGAGATCTTTAAACTTGGCAGCTTTAAGATTTGTGGACTTCAACTCCCAGAATTCTCCATTTCTGGGAGTTGAAGTCCACAAGTCTTATAGCTGCCAAGTTTGAGGACCCCTGATCTAGATAGACAGCCAAGAGCTCCATGCTTATGACCTGGAATGACCTGGACCTGTAAGTCATTCCTGAGTCAGAGCAAGCATGGCTGAGCTATGGTTGTCTAATTCAGTGTTTCTCAACCTTGGCAACTTTGTGATATGTGGATTTCAAGTCCCATGCTAGCTAGGGAATTATGGGAGTTGAAGTCCATGCATCTTAAAGTTGCCAGTGTTGAGAAACACTGGTCTGGTTTGGCTGTCGATGTGATGTATCAACCAACCAACCAGTGAGATGACTTTAGAGTGAAGGGTGAAATGAACATGAAATCCAGTTAACGATTATTTAGGAAAGGGTTTACATCTAGTTTAGCTTCCATTGCTGTAACACAAGAGTCTCATAGTGCTCAAATTCAGCTTGAAAAAGTTGTGTTTTGGAATACAGTCACCTTTAAAAAAAAATCTTCCTTCCTGACTTATCCAAAACATACCTGAATCCATGGTTTGTTAATCATAGCTTATTGAATGAGCCACAAGTGATTGGCTTCAATCAGTGTACCAAGCCCTGACATGCTTGGTAAATTGCTTGGCAAGTGACATTGGGAGGATAAAATGTGCTTTTTTACTGAGTCTTTTAGATTAGCTTGAACAAATCCAGGTATTTTACTAGGATTCTTCCTTGGTACAGCCTCTTTGCTAAGGAGGAATGGGGCACATTAGTTCTTTGGCACATAACTCATGTGCCATTCTTTTTTTTATTATTATTGAAAAGTTTTATAAGAAATACAAACAATTTTCTCCCCCCACCCTTTCCCCCTCCCCACATAATAGAAAATGTACATTTTCTTATACATAATAAATCCTACATATACATGTTTCCCTTAAAGAAAGCATTAAAATAAGACATTTTAATTACATTCGGAGTTACTCTTCTTCTCTTTCTTCCCTCATTCCACAACAAACCTTCTTCTCCTTTCTTTCCCTTCCCTCCCTCCTCTCCTACTTTCTCCTTCCTCCTCTCCTACCTCATCCTACTTCCTTTTCCTTTCCCCCACTTCTCTCTTCTTTTCCCCCTTCTCACCTTTTCTCCTACTCCTGTCCCCTTCCCTTCCTCCTCTCCTTTCTTCCATTCCTCTCCCTCCCTCTCCTCTTCCTACCCTCTCCTCCTCTCTCCTTCTAACTTCTTTGCTGTGGAATATTCTCCTCCTTTAGTATCTGAGCAACTCCTGTATTCTAATCGTAGATACTTTCTTTCAGTTTCTTTCCAGATTTATTCTATCTATCTGCATTATCCTCCTAATTGTACATTTATTGTTATAATCTATCGCAACTTAATATTATCATTTCATTTATTATTACATTTCCCCCACATTTGCTTTTCTATTAAAACATTTATCTATTCAACACTTTTATCCCAACCCAACCTTTGTCCCTCCCTCCGCACCCCCCACCGCCGACTTCCCAGGGCAAAAACAGGGTATTGCATTTAACAAGCATAAGCTAAAATATACTAACTAACTACAGAGTTCAAAATACTTTCACGCTCTTTAACTCCTCTTTTACAAATTCATCAACCTCCCTTTTATATCCTCCTAAATATAAAGACCTGTTGCAATATTTTCAGGATCAGACTCAATAAGATTATCAAGAGTTAAAGATTTAACTATATATTCTTTTATTTACAATAGGCATTCTATATTCACTGAATATTCACAGATAGAAGCAAGGGAAAGGGTGTAGGTAGCTCCTTATATATACAATGGGTGGAGCTATATGTGGGAGTGGTGAATTATGAATACATTAAGAAGTGAAGAATAAGTTAACCCCTGATACCCTGTTTGTACACTATTTACACATTAGAGAATAAGGCATTTACATCTGACAAATCCCCCTCTAAATGCCGATTCGTTATACAACACCAGTTACATTCAGATTCAGGACAATACAAAACATACAACTTAGAGGTTAAATATTTATGCTGCTTAGAAGGTAAAGGCTTTGTCAATATATCAGCTAATTGTTCTGAAGTGTCGCAATGCACTGCTTTAATAAATCCATCCTGAGATAATTGTCTCACATGTTTAAATTTTATATCTATATGTCTGGACCTTTGTCCAATGGCATCAGATCTAGATATTTCAATGGCTGCTTTATTGTCTTCATGCATAACAAAGGGCAGAGCAGGTTTTTTCCAGACATCTGAAATTAAATCATTAAACCATACAAGGTTATTTGCGGCTTTGGATAAACAAACATATTCCGCTTCTGTCGTTGAAGTGGCCACTAGTTCTTGTTTACCAGTGTACCAGTAAACTGGACAGTCATTTAAGAGAAATACATAACCAGATGTACTTTTTCTGCATGAGGTGTCTCCAGCCCAATCTGCATCTGCATAACACGTAAGCTTTGGTTCTTTAATATCATTAGGCTCTAACATTAAACAAAAGTCTAGTGTACTTTTTAGATATCTTAAAATTCTTTTAACAGCTTCCCAGTGATACATTGTTGGTTTGCTGACATGCCTAGATAATAAATTGAGTGGTAAAGCGATATCTGGTCTAGTCCAATTAGATATGTAAAGGAGTGAACCTATGATTGATCTATAGAATGTATTGTCTTTGAACTCGGGAGAAGATTCATCAGAATTTCTTAGAAAGTCAGTTTGCATAGGGGTATCACAAGGTTTGGCATTGTTTAAGTTGCATTTATTTAAAAGTTCTATGATCTTATCTCTCTGGGTAAGTTTGAATCCCCTTTTTGTCTTATTAATTTGGACACCAAGGTATTTGTTTACCTTGCATAAAGATTTCAATGAGAAATGCTCATTTAGTTTAGTTACAAAAGTTTCTCTTCTTTCTTTATGTTTTCCTATGTATAAAATGTCATCCACATAAATCAATACAAATTCAATGTAATCATCACCCCTCTTGACAAAGAAACAATTATCAGCAGTGGTAGCGTTGAAGTCCATGGTCTTAAGTACTTTTACTAAACAATCATACCACCGTTTACCAGATTGTTTTAGCCCGTATAAACTCTTGTTTAACAACCAAGTCTCATTTCTGTTTGTGTATTGACTATGAGGTGCTCTCACGTATATTTCTTTATCTAATTTTGCGTGTAGGTACGCAGTCTGTATGTCATATTGGAATACATCAAGATTGAGTGCTGATGCTACCACTAGAGCTGTTTTGACACTCTCTGTTCTTACAGTGGGGGAATACGTGTCAGTATAGTCCTCCGGATATTTCTGTGCATAACCCTGTGCAACTAATCTAGCTTTGTATAGAGTATTTCCTCCCTCTAAATTCTTAATTTTATATATCCACCTGGTACCAATAATTGTCTTATCTTTAGGTGCAATTGCAGGTGTAAATACATTTAGTCTTTGTAAACTTTCCATCTCTTTCTTCATTGCTAATTCCCATTTTTCTTTTTCTTCGTGAGGAAGTTTTAACACTTCCTCGTATGTATTGGGTGTTGTTGGTTCACCATCCATGTGCATTACATAATCCTTGTATTTATTTGGCATTTGATTTCTGGTGTTTCTAATGATTTTTTCGGGTTTACTATCGTTATCATGCAAATATCTTGCTTCCTTTTTTGTTAGTGTGTCTGTCTTTATTTTGTGTTGGCTATTTGTCCAAGTTTTGGTTTTGTTTTTATATTTGTTGATATTTTGCTTTTCTATAGTCCCTTTCTCATGAGGTTTTGTATCTTCATGTTTATTTGGGAATATCTCATTAAGATGTAATTTAGACCAGTTAGCTTGTTCATGGAACACAGCTGTTCTGGAGACTATAAATTTGTTGTTACTATCAATGAATCTGTATCCTTTAGTGCCAGTCTCATATCCCATAAATCTGAGTCTTCTGGACACATTTTCTCCCTTTCTTCTTAATTGTTTAGGTATGTGTACGTCTGCTGTGACTCCAAATATATGCATGTGTGCTAATTTTGGTTTTCTATTATACATCACTTCATATGGTGTCTTATTTACAATGCTGGACCATGTTCTATTTTGTGTGTAATTTGAATAATGTAAGGCTTCTGACCAGAATTGTTTGCTTAAGCCAGCATCTTCCAATGTGCATCTAATCATGGTTTGTAATGTGGAATTTTTTCTCTCTGCAATCCCGTTTTGGAACGCAGAAAATGGACTAGATGTGTAATGTAACATTCCTTTGTCTTTTAACCATTGGGAGAATTCTTTAGACATGAATTCGCATCCTCTGTCTGTCATAATTTGCTTTATTTTGATGTTGTGTTGTGTTTCTATGCGTTTGTAAAATTCTTTAAATTTTTGAAATGTTTCATCTTTGTGTTTTAATGTATAAACAAATCCATAGCGGCTATAATCGTCCACTATTGTCAGGAAGTAACGTTTTCTATAAGTGATTGATGGGGTTAATGGACCAACTAAGTCCATGTGTACTAAATCAAAAATTTTGTTAGTTGATCT